TTTGATTAAGCCTATTAAAGAAAGAATCGTAAAGGGATATGGAATGTAAAGTTAATTTGATTTTAGGCGGGAAGTCGGTTTTAGCCGGAACTCTGTTTTGTATCGAATTACGTTCATACCATTCCATTTTTAGCGTCCCTATCTACCGTATTATCTCTATCTTTTGTTTTTTGTAACAAACCAAACCTTTTTTAAAACTACATGTGTTTCTCATCCCATTCTTCACAACAGACACAGCGCTATAGCTACTGAGCGCACGCGCGAAGCAGTACCATCGTATGGTCCATTAGACGTACAGGCTAACGCTACTTCTTCCACGACTATCGTCGTGCGTTGGGGCGAGGTACCGAAACAGCATCGCAATGGTCAGATTGACGGCTTCAAAGTCTTCTACGCTGCCACAAATCGGGGCGGTCAAGTGCTACACAAAACCATCTCCAACAACGCCTCATTCACCACCACCCTAACAGAACTGAAAAAATTCGTTGTCTACCACATACAAGTGCTCGCCTTTACACGCCTTGGCGATGGTGCTTTGAGCACACCACCGGTACGTGTGCAAACCTTTGAAGATACGCCCGGAGCACCGTCAAATGTCAGCTTCCCAGATGTATCCTTCTCAACGGCGCGCATCATCTGGGATGTACCTGACGATCCCAATGGCGAAATACTCGCATATCAGGTCACCTATTCGCTTAATGGTAGCGCAAATTTAAACTACAGTCGAGAATTTCCACCTTCGGACCGCACGTATCGCGCGACACAGCTACTCGCCGAGCGTTACTACATATTTAGCGTTACAGCACAGACGCGTTTAGGGTGGGGTAAGACTGCCTCGGCACTTGTTTATACAACAAACAACCGCGAACGTCCACAACCACCTTCAATGCCACAGATCTCACGCAGCCAAGTGCAGGCGCATCAAATTACCTTCAGCTGGACACCTGGTCGTGACGGCTTTGCGCCACTACGTTACTATACGGTGCAAATGCGTGAAAATGATGGTCCCTGGTCACTATTACCGGAGCGTGTAGATCCTGCGCTCACCTCCTACACAGCAACCAGTCTCAAACCCTACACGACATACCAATTCCGTATACAAGCCACCAACGATTTGGGACCCTCTGCCTTTAGTCGCGAAAGTATTGTGGTGCGCACATTGCCAGCTGCACCAGCTTCGGGCGTATCGGGTCTGAAAGTAGTGCCCATCACGACCACATCAGTGCGCGTGCAATGGAGCGCCTTAGAAACTTCAATGTGTCTGACTAGGAACAGTTGCTCAGTTACTCTCTCAAATGTGTTCCCACTTACAGGTTTTATGTCAATAGGAACGACTTCCTGTAAGTTCTGACTAAATCCTGTAAACCGGACTGCTATTGGAACAGACTAAATGTGTATCTCTTGTGGCTTAAAATATATGGTCGTAAAGTGCTTTTATTGTCATTACAAATTTTTTATTAAAAATATGTGCATATATATGATGGTATTTGTAACATAAATTTACAAGCTTTTTTCTATTGTTTTTTAATAGAAAATTTGGTTTAGTCAGCAACTATCATAATCATTAAAATACTTGCAATTTAGTGTACAGTGTTCTATGAGAGCATTTAAATACTATTTTTTTGGCGCATTCCAATGGAATTTGTTTACTTACATATATACTAAATACATGCAATAATTTCATAATATATCATTTTCTGCATTTCGGCATTATTGTAAAGTGTTCAAGTTACTTTTATAAAGAAAATATATTAGTCCTTAAATGTAATTAATTTGTACTAAACTCTCTAGAGCCATATAAATATGTAGGTACGTGCACATACAGATAAGTAAATACACAAACACAAACAATACATAAAAACCCAGTTTCATACATAGTACATATAACATAGATACTTACATATGTGAATGCAATCTTTGTATGTTAAATAAGGCAAGTAAGTAATAAGTAAGCGAAAACAAATTTAAATCAAATGAGAGAAAATATAGAAAAAAATTACTATGAGTCAACTAGCGTGACTTTGAAATCGTACATATGTACTAATTTCATGTAATAAACTTAAACAACAAAATACACTACTTAAATAGGTATATTTTTTCTAAACAAGCGACACGTGAGCGCATGCATAACATAAGTAAGTATACGAGTATGTATGTAAAGCTCAGAATCTTGAATCCAAGTTACAAAAAAAAAGGATACGAGAAGCAAGAAGCGTTGCTTTAAACGACTTGCAAGCACACATTCATGTACAAACATACATACATAACTCACAAGTATCAAAACACTGTCACACTTCAATCGACTGATTATTATTATTACTATGCATGAATACTGATTCTAACTAAATCTAAAATTTACTTAAAAAATAATTTACGACGTTCATTACTG